GGAATGGGGTGGGGGGCTATTGGGAGCGCATCCCCCTCCTTCCCATTGTGTGAGATGCTCTCAGAAGGAGCCGCCAGCGTGACCGTGACCGGGCGTGGAGGGAAAGAGAACAAAGGGGCAGGGGACCTCTAGGGTATGCATTGTGGAGGCAGAGAGAGGGAGGGCTAGGGGAACCGCAGGTACTGGACCTAAGAGGGGTCTCACCCAGTACCCCTGCGGGGATGACTCTCCACCTGTGTGTGTGGGGGGGGGGGGAGTTGAGGTCCCTACCTTGGTCGGACACAGGGAGGGAGAGTAAAGAGCTAGCAGTTACAGGGCAGCTTCATGGAGGGAGGGGGAGTCCCCCTCCCTTGAACCCTGACAACTGCCCTGCAGCGCCCCCAGAACGCCCCAGCCAGCCCTGCTGCTGCTCTTGTCCACTGTCTCCCCAGTCCCTTCTCCATGATGCAGCTACAGAATTCCGTCCTCAGCTATGTGACTGATCATGTCCCTGTCCACATAACCAGCACCCTCCTCCTTGAACCTAGAGAAGGACCTGATTCTCCCCCTCCAAGTCCTGAGTGGTCTGGCTCCCATTCCCTTTTGTCCCAGCACCAGGGCTGTTTCCCTAGACCACCCCCCACACTGGGCCACACTCAGCCTCTGTCTTATTCTGTCCAGCCTCAGGGCCTTTACATCCGCTTTTCCTTCTGCCAGGATCCCCTTCCCTCACCCCCTATTGTCTTTCAGAGCCTGGTCTGAGGTCACCTCCTGCTCTGGGCATATCCCTCTAGTTTACGATTTTCAATTCCTGGTGTGTTCTGTTATTTATTCACCTTCTGCCTGAATATGCCCCCCACCCCCAGCAACTTAGGCCTGGCTGATGAGAGGAGGGGCCAACTCTGACCCAGCACCACCCCAGGAGCTACCCAGCTCCAAACAGATGGCACCACTGCCCCCAACCACCCTGGAAAGCACCCCTAGGACATGGCACAAAAGATCCAGCACCTGCTTCTGCAGGGGTGTCACCTTCCACAGTGAAACTAAAAACACAGGCATCTAAATGTTGCCTCCCCCGACCCCCAGGGATGGCGTAGCCCGTTTCCAGAATAACATACCGAGAGAAAAAGGGCCCACAGGGACCGAGTTCCAGGCCTGTTGAGCAGAAGCCAGTACGGAGGTATGTCTGTTCAGAGGGCAAATAGGTATGAAGAACAAAGACGAGAACTGCAGGGAGGGGGAGGCACTGGGGGCAGCCCTGGGCATGGGGAGGGGAGTGACCTTTCCTTTGTTATTAGCTTTTCCATCATGTTTTCTTATACTTTTTTTTTTTGAAACCAAAGGGGAGGATGAAAGGAAAATCGCTTTGTTGGAGGGTACAAAAGCTCAGAGAGGGTATGTGCCCCCATGGGACAGAAAACGCAGCTGTGTTGAGAAATCAAACACTGGCCCCCAAATACTTGCCTCCATAAATTTACCCTGAAATGTTTGAGCACCTACTATAAATTTATATGCCCAGAGATTGAGGGTGAGTTCAGAGGGGGTGGGGATTCCTGGGGTCCTGAGAGTACAAAGACCTGGGGGTTCTGGGAAAAGGTGATGGCTGGATGAGCAAGAACATGTGGCCTCAGCAGGGCCAGGCCCAGAGCCAAGGGTTTGGAGGGCTTGTGGGGGTTGAGGGAGAGAGAAAGCCCTTGAAGATGGGTTGAGTGCCTTTTCTTTGCACATTTCACTGCCAGGCCAGGACTTGACCTCAGGCTGGTGTTCAAGACCAGAAAGGTGGGAGATAGCATGGGAAGTGGGGGGGGACCCAGCATGCAGGGATATGGGGAACCAGGGACGGAAGAGACAAAGGCATCATCGGAGAGGTTTCAGAAAGCCTCAGAGCACAGGCGGGGGGTGGGGTAGTAAGGGGGTGCCAAATCAAGATTAGATCTGCCAAATAAAATACAGGGCACGGAATGGGACATACTTATAAAAATAAAAATTACTCGTTGTTTATCTGAAGTCAGGTTTAGCTGGGCAACCTGTAGTTTTCTTTTCTAAATCTGGAAACCCTAGGCCCAGATCTTCTGGCCAAGCAAAACTGGGGTTTGCTGGGGGGAAGAGGAGGAGGGGCCCTATGGGTGTCCGTCCTCTCCCCTCCCATCCCCCCTCCCGTCCCACGTGTTCTCTTCCTAAGCTTTTCTTTGTCCCCCACACGTTGTCCACGTCCCTTAACTGTTCAAGTTTCCCCCCCCTTCCTTTGTTGTCCCCCTCCTTCCACACACTCCCTCATTATCCCATCCCCCGACTCCTCCTCCTCATGCACCCCTTTCCCCATCTTCCCCAGCCCTTCGCCTTTCCCCCACCTTCTCTGGTACCCACCCCTCCTCCACGTCCCTTCACCATCCTCCCCTCCTCCAAAGCCCCTCTCTCCGCGATAACCTCCTCCCGGGACACCCACCCTCTCCTCTCCTCTGAGAACCGCCCTCCTCCCCACCGCCGGTCCTGGGGGCGCACGAGGGGGAACCCCGGCCACCGGCGCCGAGCTCCACGCAGGCGCAGAACCGCCCGGCTTCCCTGAGGCTGCCGTCCCCCTCGCTGCGGCCCGCGCACCCCGTTGCCAAGGCGACGGCGAAGGCCGGAGCGGGAACCTCCGGAAGACCCCGCTCTCTCTCCCTCCTCCGCCACCTCCTCAGCAAACCCCACTCTGGTTTGAGCCGGTTTCCCCACCCCGCCCCCAGTGCGCACTGCGGCGCGTGAGGATTCCCTTGCCCACAGGGCGGGGGTCGGGCAGGGATCGACGCATGCGCACCGGGCGAGGCTTTCCCTCCCCGCCTAGCGCTCGACGGGAAAGCCCTAGCGCGTGAAGCGAGCACCCCCGCGCAGGCGCAGTGTGCGCCCGGCGTCCCCACGGCCCCGCTCGGTCGTCCCGGCAACGCGCGCGGGGAGGACTGGGAGAACACGGAACTCCCGTCTCACGCCCCCTCCCGCGCACTGCAGCGGAGCCGGGGATTCCCTGCTGCCCGCGCGCAAGCGCGGGCCTGGGATTCCGCGGGGGCGGGGCCGGAGAAAGAAGGGGCTTTTCCGTGGAAAGGGAACAAAGGTTATTACCATCGTTCAGTCAGAAGGCGGTCCTCTCAGCTCCTGTCCTGAGTTTTACCTCCTCTCTGGTCCCCTGGCCGTCCCTCTGCAGGTCCCCAGGAGAGCTTGCCACATGCAGCTCCGATACCCTTCTTATATTGCTCCCCATCGCTCTGGGGTGAATTCCCGTTCCTCAGCCTCGCCTGCACGGAGGCCCTGCACGCCCAGCTGACATTTTCCTTCTGGTTAATCACCGTTAGTCGCCAGCGCTCCCTAATTCCTAACCACAAAGACCTCAACGTGGCCATGCAGGAGGCTCCTTTGCCAAGCCTTTCTTCAGGATATGCCTTTTCCAGGCACCGTCTCGTTGATTCCCCAGATAGCCTGAGGTTAGATACTGTTTTATCCCATTAAAAATAGGAGGAAACTGAGGCTTAGACCCATTAAGGCCCTGGCCTAAGACCCCAGAGGTAGAAGGCAGAAGCCTCTATTTGTGGGGAGACATCTGGGCTCTTCCACCCCTTATTTAGCTGACACCTTCAACCCCCATTCCAGATCCCACTGCTGCCCCTGCTTGCTCCCCCGCAACCCTGGCAGCTTTCTTGGGTATGTGACACAGGCAGGTGACTTAGTTTTACCGTCTGTAAAGGGGATAAATATCTCATGGGACTGTCCCAAGGGTTCAGTGAAACATTACCATGGGCTAGGCCAGGGCCCAGCATCCAGAGGATGGTTCTCACAGCTGGTCTAGTCCCCGTTCAGTGGTCATCTTCCCCCTCAACTCCCCCCTCCCCCCATGTTTCTTGGTGGCCTTCTGCCTCACTTCCCTAACCCCCACAGGGTTTTCTGGGGTATTTCCTAGATTCTTCGCATGCCTTCTGGCTGATGTCTTAGAGTTGGCTCTAGGATCTCCAAACTAAACCAGTGCTCTGTATATGTTGGTTAGTTTTATGCCAGCTACTGTCGTTTCAGGCACCTTCCATTCTGCATTTTAGCTGAACCCAATTATTAATGGCACCCCTCCCTTGAACAGGAGAGATATAACCTCCAGGCCTTTGCATAGGTGATTCCTTCAGCCTTTTCTGTCCCTGTCTGTGTAGCGAATTCCTATGCATTCTTCAAGGCCCTCCCTCCATGAAACTGTCACGGCCCCCTCTGGCCCAGCTCTGACACCACACAGTTGGGAATGGGGACCAGAGACCACAAGGGCAGCGTTGTGGGTGCAGGGAGGGTATTGCTTGGGTGGGAGCCATAGCAGTGACCTGGTAAACACTTAGACCCTGCCTAACACATGTGGGCCCATCTGGCTGCTGCCCCCCCTTTCTGCCAACTCTCCAAGGCCAACTAAGCTCTAGGAAGCCAGAACCAGGTGCAGATCTTACCCAGCCCTCCCAAACATGCGGCCTCTGATGGGACACTTACTCCTACCCAGATCCACCTTCGTGCTCCAGCCTCCAAGCCCTTGCCTGCCTATGCGATGGAATCTGACTCATCTCCCACTCAGGCCCGCTCTGAAAAATCCTCCACCGGGAAGCCTGCCCAGGATGCTTCCCATGTTGGAATAACACCAGAGCAGCCAGCATTTCCTGACCCCCAAGCACAGTATGTGACCTGGCTGCTGACTCTGAACCAGAATCTCAGGATGCTAACTACATCACCTCTAGCTTGCCTCTGGTTCTGCCCTGAAGTGCTCTGTGACCCGGAGCCAGTGCCTCAACCTCTCTGAGCAGTCCTCTTGCAGCAGGCCAGCAAGTGGAAGTGGTGGTACAGGTCCCTTCACGGACAAGTGGCCCAGCCAGGTGGGGATGCCATAAGAGCCAGGCACACGTCTCAGTTGGCTTGCTGCGACACGAGGGCAGTTGGGGGGCCCTGATCTTCTCTGAATGTGACCCCCTGCATTCCCCGGCATTCCAGCCTTCCTCTCCCCACCACCCACAGAGACTTCAAGTGCAAACTCTGCTTCACCGACTGCCTTTATTGGGCATCAGCCCCAGGGCTCCACGGGCGCACGAAGGGGGTGGTGGGCGTCACTCGAAGCAGGGACTCTACAGCGGGAGGCATGGCCTACGATGCCACGTAGCCCCCAGGACACTTGCCTCAGCCCCGGACCTCTCTGTAACCCACGTAGCTGACCCAGCAGGAGGGCGTGTGACGTCACAACCCTGACCGCCTGTGGGGCGGCTCCCCCAGTTCTGGGCTCACTTGGGGGCATTGAAGGGCACGGCCCGCTGGTTCATGGGGTTGTCTGGCGACCGCAGCCACTCCTTCTTGAGCAGCTGCTTCAGCTGCGACAGCCGCATATTGGGGTTTTCTTGCTTGAGCCGCGGCAGCTGCGCCTCCTCAAAGGCAGTGAAGGCCGCCCGCATGCGGCGCTCTGGGTGCCGGTCCGCAGCCTCGTCTGCCACGCTACGGGAGGACGGTGGCGTTAGGGGGCGGGTCTATGGGGCGACCCCGCCCCCAGACGCATAGCCCCGCCCCCGTGCTCGAGCCCCGCCCGTCACCTGAGCACCGCGATGGCATCCTCAATGGTGCGCGCTTCCACGCTGCCCTCCTCCAGCACGCGGCGGTTCACATTCTCCTCCAGCGGCACCTCCAAGTGGCTCTTGGCTTTCTCGGCTGGGGGTGGGAGGCAGCCAGGTGACAGAGACATACACAGAGACAGAGAGAGATAAGCAGGGATGCAGAGTTCCAGAGAGATGACAGAGACCCAATGGGGGAAGAGAGAGAGAGGAGGCAGGCAGGCAAAGAAGGATGGGGGAGCCCTCTTGCCCTCCCAGCCCCCTGCCCAGGCCACGCTGCCCTCCTGACTTTCCTGCAACCGGGCACACAGGAGGTGCCCCACTCATGGCTACTGTCTCAGCCTCAAGGCGCCTCATTAATGCCCTGAGGACCCCATGGGGCACAGGCCCAGGTCAGGTGCAGAGCAAGTAAATACACGTGTGTGTGTGCCCATGCTCTCCGTGCTCAAAGCCAGGTCTGCCAGGCCACTTCTTCACCACCCATGCTTCACCACACAGCCCAGGCAGCTTCTCTGGGGCTGAAGAAGGGGCTCTAGACTCAGCCAGGGTCAGCCTGTCCTTTACTGGGTAAAAAGGCAGCTCAAGAGTGGGCCGCAGCCCCACCTGTGTCCGGGGCTTCTTTGTGCTGGTGGTCTCGGCGGAGCGTCTCCTCAATCTGGGCCCGGGTGACCTTGTTGGGCACAGCCACGCGGGGGGCCTTGCCGCCCTTGAGCTTGGAGTCCTCCTCCTCCAGCAGACGCTGGGTCTCCTTCTTGCGCTCCAGCTGCTCCAGGCGCCGCTTCTCCTTCTCCTCCTGGGGGGAGGGGGTGATCAGGAGTGGACCCCACCACTGGCACGAGTGGACCAAGGCCCTGCTGCGTGCTAGACCCTGTGCTAGGCACAGGGGACACAGCTGGGGCACCATGGGATTACCTAAGGGTTCCCAGCCTATATGACTATGGGAACAACAGGGAACCCTGGCCATGGCAGGTGGGTGGGTGGTTCTCAAAGGAAAAGTGACACCTGGGCCGGAGGAGAAGCCAGCCTGGACGAGAACTGGAGGACAGGAAAGTCCTTAGTGGTGGGAATGCAGGTGCAAAGGCCATGATGTAGGAACCTCCTAGAGGCTGGTGTGGCTGGAGTAGGGAGGGGAAAATGTGGAAGGAGGAGAGGTGGGGAGGGGTTTGTATTGGATTCCAAAGTCAACAGGAGCCAGGGAGGGTCTGAACACATTTGCTGGCTGGAGCAGGGGTTCTGCCCTTAGGGGCAGTGTCCCCAGCCAAGTGTCACAAGGGACTGGTCCCACCTTTGCTCCCCAAGGAGACCCTGATGCCATCTGGCCTACAGGACTTGCCCTGGGTTGCTGCCCCCTAGAGTACCTAAGGGGCAGAGCCATGTTCTGGTTCATTTATAATGCAGGGCAGCCATAGGCTTGGAACATTCTGCCATCTCCCACCCACACCCCCACAGGGCCCTGCAGCCCATGCACCCCCACTTGCCTACCCTCTGCCTGCAACTCTGCCATCTGACTCCCATGCCTTGGGGATGGTCCCCGCTCCTTCAATGCCCTCTGTGACACTCCTATAGTGGGACTAAGTGTTCCAGAAGACGACTCCATGTGCCTGAGGATACCCCCTGGGCCTCTGACCTCTACCCTGCCTGCCCAGCAGGAAAGCGGGGGAGAGGTTAAAGGTGAAGGGCTCCCACACCTGTGTTCAGGCACCTCAGGCAGGGCCATTGTGCTTTGATCCTCAGTTTAATCATCAATCAGATGTAATGTCTTCCCAAGGCCCCCTTACCCCACATGGTTCTCATACAGCCCATGTTCATTCAGCCCTGCCTTGGCCTTGGCACTGGCTGCTCTGTCCTCCTGGTATACCAATGCAGCCTCCTTCCCTGGCTAACTCTGGCGCCTCCAGAGTTCCTGGCTCCCTATCAGGCTCCTCCACCCCATGGCTTTTTCCTGTGTTCCACAAGTCCCTGTTTCTCTCTTCTGACTATGTGGTTTGTCCTGGAGGCAGTCCCTGGCCTGGGTTTTGAACAGCTGCCTTCTGGCCCCAGGCCCGGTGCCCAGTAGGTGCTTAGTAAAAGGATGCTGAATGAATGCATGAATTCCAAAAGGTTCCAGTAACTCAGGAAAGACATGCAGCTTGTGGCCATTAGTCTCTAGGGACATGGGACTGAGGAGGGAACATGAGCATTTATACTCTGACATTCAGCAAAATTTTTTGAAAAAGTCACTTGCAGTTTTTAAAAAAGAGCAATTAGCAATTGGCAGTTTCTGGCGATGGGAGACGGTAAGTCCACTTTGCAGAATATTCCAGAGCCATAAGAAATGAGTCTCATATATAACTGACATGGAACCCAGACAGGTGCTCATCGCCAAGTTGCTTAATATGGAACAAGTGGAAATGAAATGCTGACGTCCAGGTGGGGAGATGAAGTACAGCCCCATCCGTGGCTGATGCCTGGAGACCAGGAGAAATATGGCTGTGAGCCTCTAGCTCAAGACATGGGCTTTGGGGTAGGCCACTGGGTGAGAAAGGTCTTTGGTGTCATGTGGGGAGAAGAGGTGTGTTATTTTTTAGCGTTTTGGAGTGAGCATGGATTTGCTTTTTTCTTTAAGATTTTTTTCCTCTTTTTTGTTTTGTTTTGTTTTTTTTTAAGTAGGCTCCATGCTGGGCATGGAGCTCAACGCGGGGCTTGAACTCACAGCCCTGAGATCAAGACCTGAGCTGAGATCAAGAGTTAGAGGCTTTAAAGATTTTATTTTAGGGGTGCCTGGGTGACTCAGTTGGTTAAATGTCTGCCTTTGGCTTGGATCAGGATCCTGGGGTCCTGGGATTGAGACCTGCATCAGGCTCCTGCTCAGTGGGGAGCCTGCTTCTCCCGCTCCCCCTGCTTGTGCTCTCTCTCTGTCAAATAAATAAATTTTATTTATTTTATATAAATTGTATTATTTATTTATTTAACAAAGAGAAAGAGGGCACACATGCATGAGCAGGGGGAGGGGCAGAGGGAGAAACAGACTCCCTGCTGAGCAGAGGGTCCGACCTCTCTGGCTTTTCTCTCTGCATAATGGCTCTTTGGCAGACATTGTTTTTTCTTTTGGGTTTTCAACTTTCCTATATTGTCAAAATACTGATAGTCAAAAAGAAAACTGAAAGACCTCCGTGGACCCAATGCAGCACAGGATGTGGGGAGGGAACCGGTGACCAATATCCAACCAAAAACAAGGTAGGATCCAGTCCCGCACAGGAAGACGATGGGAAAAACTCACAAAAGTGCCCAGGCATGCCAGGAATTGGGCAAGCAGGGATGGCACGTCACCCCTGCTACTTTCTCCCACTGTTAGTCTGGGCAAGAACCTCTGACCAGCCCAGGGGACCAGGAGCGACAGCTATAAATGGGTCTCTGGTGCCACCTACTGGACCCAGCAGTACCAGTCAGTACCAGCCCTGACCCACTCCCCAGACACCAATTCGTACCCACTGTGTGCGTGACAATGGGGCCTATCAGGGGACAGACGCACTCTTCTGTGTTTTTATACACACTTGGAAGAGCCGGCGAGCTTTGTGGCCAGCAGGGTGGATACGGGGGACCGATTACAGCATTCCTCAGCCTTGGCACTGCTGATGTCTGGGGCTGGCTCATTCGTTACTATGGGCCATCCTGTGCCCTGAAGTGTGTTGAGCAGCATGCCTGGCCCCCACCCACCACGATGCCAGCAGCACTTTCCACCCACTAGTTATGACAATCCAAAATGTCTCCAGATGTGCCAAGTGCCTGCTGAGTGCAGAATCACCCCACGGTGAGAAGTGCCAGTCTAGCCCAACCCTGACATTACATGAAGGAGAGAAATAAGCCCACACAGGGAAGTGGCTGCCTTGCCATTCCCTGAACATGCCAAGTCCTGGCCACCCCAGGGCCATTGCACGAGCCTCTGCCTCCACCTCCCCCCTTGCCCTTGCTCCATGTCCCGTGCCTCCTCACCCTTCAAGCCAAAGCCCCAGGGGGTTTGCGTGTTGACTGCCCACCTTAGCCACAGATACAGGAGCCTGGGAGCCACCCACCTTGCGCTGTTCCTTCCTCATGACGTGTTTGTCCTCATCCTTCCAGTAGGCATCCTCCAGCTCCTTCTGCTTCCTGGCATCAGCTGCTGCCTTGGCCTCAGCCCTCCGTGCCCGGGCCGCTGCCGACTTGGTGTTCTCACCCTGGAACTTCTTGGGCATCCCTCAGCAGGCTGCGGGAGGGCAGGGACCAGTAAGCGGGGGTGGGGGGGGCGCAGCCACCCTTGGTACCCCCAGACTCACACTTGCAGTCAGGATCCCCTTGGAGCCTCAAAGGCCTTGTTTGTAAAACGAGGGCTTGAGACTCTGTGATCTCCTTTTTGAAAAAAATTTATTGACGTGAAATGCACACAACAAAAAATGAACCCTTTTAAAGTGCACAGTTTGGTGGCATTTAGAACATTCACAATGTTGTGCAACCGTCACCTCTATCTAGTTCCAGAATACATTCCCATCCCCCCAAAAGGAAACCCCACGCCCACTAGCAGTCACACACCCTCCCCCCCGCAGCCCCTGACAACCACTCATCTGCTTTCTGTCTCTATGGATTTGCCTCTTCTGGACGTTTCATATACATGGAATATGATACACTCTGTGGCCTTTTATGTCTGGCTTCTTTCACTCAGTGTGATGTTTTCGCGGTTCATCTGTGTTTTTTAGCATGGCAGGGCTTCATTCCTTTTATGGCTGAGTAATATTCCGCTGTACAAATTGACCACATTTTGTTTATCTATCCACCACTGAAGGACATCTGGGTTGTTTCCACTTTTTGGCTCTTACAGTCATGCCTCTGTGGCCCCCTGGGGGCCAGTCTGTGTGTGGCCCCTTCAATGCTGCCACTTATGAGGCCTCAGTCCCCAGGGCCCAGAGCCCTGAGGCCAAGTCCTCCTCACCCTGGGTAAGCAGCTGCCGTGAGCTGCTCCCAATGACCCAGCCCAGGCTCGCACAGCTGGACAGCTGCGGTCCAGCAGGCCCCTGGTCCGAGCGAGTCCCACGTTGGGTGCTGGGAAAGCGATGCACACAAATGGCAGACACCACCCTCCCTCCACTAACACCTTCATGTGGACCAACTCCACAGAATGCCTCCAAAGCTCTAAATGTGGGGACTGCCCTTGTTCCCTCTCTGAGGTGGGGAAGTCAAGGTACCTGGCCAGACCGCACAGCGCTAAGCCTAGGGTCTCACCTCCAAAGCCTGCCTTCCAGGTGAGGAAGGGAAGGCTGTGCAGCCCAGGCACATGCCTTCAGCTCTCTGGGCCTCAGTTTTCCTCATCTGGGAAATGGGCTGATGTCCCCCACTCCTGGGTTGTTTGTCCCACCTGAACATCTCCAGCTCAGTCCCCTTGGGGAAATAGGCCCAGCATCCAAAAATGAAGGGGAGAGAATACGGGGGTCACTCTGACTCAGGACCACCAGGCCACCCCATTCCAGCCTCCTAACTGTGTGGCTTGTGGGGCAGGGGCTCCCACCTCACAGCCCCACTGGAAACTCTAATATCAGCTCCCATTTGCAGTGGTTGTGCACACTGGGCTCAGTGCTTTATACACAGCGTCTGAGTGAATTCTCCCAATGCTGGTGTGTGGCAGCAGAGCTGAGATCTGAAGGATGGGTGAGAGGCAGCCCTGAGGATGAAGGGATGGGACTTCTGGGCAGATGGCAGAGGATATGCAACGACCCTGCGGCAGACCCTCAATCCCAACTCTGTGCTCCTAACCACTGCCCCACCCGAGGGTCCCAGCTGGCCCCTGGGGGAACATCAGTGCAGATCAGGAATCTGAGACCACTGAGGCCCCCCCCTTAACATCAAGGGGTGGCCCCTTGGCCCAGGCTGAGACTGAGGAGAGAGCCCCATGGGGCAGAGCAGGGCAAAGTTGGGGAGATCAGTGGCCCCAGAAGACTCAGGGTTGAATACTGACTGCAATCACAGACGAAGTGCTCCCCCTGAGCTGAGACAGAGAGTTGGTTCCAGTTCCTCCTCGCACAGGATGCATGAGCTGCCACAGGGGGTATGCTAGCCTGATCCTGCACTTCCCCCAGCTGCTCCTTGGCCCCTAAATCAAGCATTCATTACTGAGTGTCTACAATGTACTCAACAGAACGCCCCCACCCTGGATTCCCCAGGGGAGTGCCAAGAACTGGGACTCACTGTCCAAGTTACAGATTAGGAAACTCCCCACCCTACTCTCCCATCTTCCACTCCCTTGTGGGTGGCAGCCACACCAGCCTCCCTGCCATTTTTCAACATCCCAAGCAGGTTCTTGCCTCAGGGCCTTTGCACTTGCTGTGCCCTCCACCTGGCTGGCTGCTCTTCACTCCTCTTTTTACCCAGTTAACTCTTATTTAAATTTCAGGGCCTAGCTCAGGAGTTTCTGCCTCCAGGAAGCCTCCCCTGAGACGCCCTCTCTCAGACCACAAAATTCTCTCTGAGGCACTTTGTTTGGGTTGCTCTTTTATGTTCATTTATATGATTATTTGACAAATGTCCGTCTTTCTTGGCAGGCTGGGAGCTCTGTGAGGGCAAGGAATACCATGGTCACTGCTGTGTCCCCAGTGCCCCGTACAGTAAGGGCTCAATAAATGTTCTGAGCAAATGAATGAACAAGCGTCTATTTCCAGAGTTCCCTCAATATTTACTTCACTCTGGGTTGTGTCCAAGCTCAGCTTCTCACTGTTCTTCCCACTCACTTCCCTCTCCAGCCTCTGAGGCTTTGCTCTTGCTGCGCCCTCACCTGATGCACCCTCCGCCACTCCCTCCTCCTGCAAAAATCCTGCCCACTCACAGGGACTCTGCCCCAGCATCCTCTCCTCCCAGGTCACGCTGCTCAAGACCCCCAACTCCATCCCAAAACCGGACAGGACAATTTTGATCCTCTCTTCAGGCCGGGACGGAATGTTGATGTTCTCTCAATATTAACATGCTGAAACCCTAAAGCTCTTTGGAGACAGGGCCAGTGAGGAGGTGATAGAGATTAAGTGAAGTCATAAGGGTGGGGCCCTAATGGAATGGGGCTGGTGTCCCTGTAAGAGCAAAAGACACCAAAGCTTGCTCTCTCCGCAAGTCAGGAAGAGTGCCTGCACCAGGAACCAAACTGGCTGGCACTTTGATCTTAGACTTCCTAGCCGTGAGCAAGTACATTTCTGTTGTTTAAGCCACCCAGTCTGTGGTATTTTTTAAATGGCAGCCCGAGCTGACTAACACAGACAGCTTTTCTTCTCTGCGTGGTAAATACTTATTCACACACACACTTTTGTCACTCAGTAAACATGCACTGAGCACCTAATATGTGTGGGACGCTGGGGAAAAGAGGCAGCACCGATCTGACTGCCAGGCTGGCTGGGAGACAGACAATAAGGGCGACAATTTGCCACGAGAACTATGATGGGGACTTGCAGGGCGCTGGGGAAGCCTAGAGGGGTTTTCTGACCCAGCCTGGGGGCTAAGGGGTGTCAAAGGGCTTCCTGAAGGAGATATCTAAGAAAAGGCCTAAAAGTGTGAGGAGCTCCGAGGCCCCAGGAGTGTGAGGGAGGCAGGCTGGGAAGCGGGGATCCGTATTCCACGGTGATGAGAAGATGCGGAGGGCATTAGAACCGGGAGGCGCAGATCTGCGGGTAAGAGCCCTGGGGTTGGTGAGGAGGTGAACTGGAGCGGTGAGATAAGTAGGGAGCTCTGGCAGGGATCCGGGGAGTGGCGCTGGACGGGCAGGGGTGTGCATTTAGGAGGGAATCAAGACCCACGTGGTTGACTGGATGTAAAAGTACAAGAGAGAATAGAAGATGGAAGTTCAACACAGTCTCTTCCCAGAATCCCTCCCGCTACCCTTTCTGAGCTCTCCCTGCCCGTAGTCCCTCTCCCCAGCCCTGACCCCACTGCAAGATACTGGGGGGCGTCCGTACCCAGCTCTGTTACCCCCAAGCCCGGAAGGTGCTCAGAGGCAGGATCGGAGCTGGCTGGCCTCGAACAGGACGCAATTCCTCCGGGACTCAGTCGCCCGCTCTGGGAAATGGGCACAGCCCCCGCGAGAGCCCTCTGGACTGGGCGACGAAAGTGCCCCTGTCTCTAAGCGCCCCGCCTCCAGCCCTCCGCAGGGCGGCGGGGGCTGCTCTCAGGCCAAGCCGCCCCGCCGCGCCCCCCCGCCCCTCCCCCCCTCCCCGCCCCTCCCCCCCTCCCCGCACCCCGGCTCCGCCCGCGCCGCGGCCGCTCCTACCTCCTTCCCCCCGCGCTGGCCCGGTCGCGAATCCGTGACGCCACCGCGGGGCCTGCGCGCGGAGCTCCCGGAGGCGCGTGCTGATTACGTCCGGCGCTGTCGCCCTCTTGGTAAGGGAACTGCTGCCCTGGCCTCCAGCCCAAGCCCAGGTTACCGGCCGTTTCTTTTCCTCTTCGAGAAGAGGATATTTTGTAAGGCTCCACCGCTTTCTCTCACTCCAGATATTGGCAAACTACGAGGGGAGGGTAAAAACTACAATCTAGAATGTTGCCTTTACCAAGATGGCCATTGCCCGGATGAAATATGGCCGCCTCCACGTCCCACGTGGTCTGGCGGCATCGGGCAGGAGTTGCCCGGCCACCAGGGCGCGCCAGAGCCCGCGGTCCACGCGCGGTGCCTAGACCGGCCAAGCCCAGGGGAATCCTCGCAAACCTCTACTGTGGCTTAGCGCTTTGTCCACACTCTCTGCTTCCCTCCTGCGAAGCTGGGGAGGGAGGGGGCAGGAGAAAGGGGCAGGGAAATTAACACATTCCACCCCGTTCAGGTGGGGAAATGGGCTTAGAGAGACCGGGCACTGAATTTAGCCAAAATGCAACCGCAAGCAGCTCAGATTCCTAGCCAGTCCCTCCTGAATTGCTCCACTCTCATCCACTCCCTCCAAACACACCTTGCTTGTTTCATTCAACAATTAGGTTTGGGGGGCCAAACCTACACTTTAGAGTTTCTTCATTTACGGAGGCATAGTGTCCTCATCTGTAAAAATGGTAGTACTAGGGGTCTGAGGGTGGTTACAATGGACCAGGCTGTGGGGAAAGAAGAAGGTTTCGGAGTTTCGGAGACCACAGTCTCCGAAAGGCAACCCCTGTGACACTGCTGGGACCTCTCTGCTCTAAAGCCTGGTGGGTTCCCACTGTCCTGCAAGACTCCTTATAGCTCCCCATCTCATCCCTCTCCTGTTCCCCATTCTCCTCAGCTCTAGCCACATCAGCCTCCTTTCTCCTAATTGCCAGGCGTGATCCTGTTTCAGGGGGTTTGCCAGTGCTGTTCCCTCTGGCCCCAGCTTTTCCAATAACCAGCCCTTTCACTTCCTTCAGGCCTTGACCCAAATACCCCTTCCTGAGAAAGACCTCCCTGACTTCCGCAATTAGTTGGTGCTCCAACCGCAGACTTTTTTCTTTTTGTATTTCTGTCATAGTAGCAACTTGTTTTACTCATTTATTGCCCTGTATATTTTCTGCCTCTCCCCTGTCTGTGATGTCTGGAGGATGGAACCCATGTAGCTGGAATGGTGTTTATCACCAAGAAAAAGGGGCGCCTGGGTGGCTCAGTCCATTAAGCATCTGCCTTCGGCTGGAGTCATGATCCTAGGGTCCTGGGATCGAGCCTGGCTGCCTGCTCAGGGGGAAGCCTGCTTCTCCCTCTGCCGCTCCCCCTGCTCATGCTCTCTCTGTTTCTATCTCTCACTCTCTCTCAAATAAATAAATAAAATCTTAAAAAATATTTCACCAAGAAGAAGAGGCTAAGCATAAAACAGGTACAACTGACCCTTGAACAACACAGGGTTTAGGAGCACCGACCTCCATGCAGTCAAAAATTTGCCTATAACTTCTGAATCCCCAGAAACTTAATTACTAATAATCTATTATTGACCTGAAGCATTACCAATAACAATCAATTGATTGACATATATTTTGCATGTTATATGTATTACATAATGTATTCTTACAATAAAGTAAGCTAGAGAAAAGAAAACATTATTAAGAAAATTAGGGGTGCCTGGGTGGCTCAGTCGTTAAGCATCTGCCTTCAGCTCAGGTCATGATCCCAGTGTCCTGGGATCAAGCCCCGCGTCACGGGCTCCCTGCTCAGTGAAGAGCCTGCTTCCCCCCTCTCTCTCTGCCCCCCACTCACTCTCTCTCTCCATCTCTCTTTCTCAAATAAATAAAATCTTTAAAAAAATTTTTTTTTCTTTTTAAAATTTTTTTAAAAATCATAAGGTAGAGGGATGCCTGTGTGGCTCAGTCAGTTAAGCATCTGCCTTCAGCTCAGGTCATGATCCCAGGGTCCTGGGATTGAGTCCTGCATCGGGCTCCTTGGTCAGCAGGGAGCCTGCTTCTCCATCTCCCTGCCACTCCCCCTGCTTGTGCTCTCTCTCTCTGACAAACAAATAAATAAAATTTTTAAAAAACACTTTTAAAAAAAGAAAAGAAAATGATAAGGTAGAGAAAATACTAGTAGAGGTGGGGAAGGTAGAGAAAATAGTACTGTACTGTATTTTTTAAAAAATCATTTATTTATTTACTAAGTAATCTCTACCCCCAATGTGGGGTTGGAACTCATGATCCTGAGATCAAGAATTGCATGCTCTAGGGACGCCTGGGTGGCTCAGTTGTTAAGTGTCTGCCTTCGGCTAGGGTCATGATCCCAGGGTGCTGGGATCGAATCCCGCATTGGACTCCCTGCTCAGCGGGGAGTCTGCTTCTCCCACTCTGCCTGCAGCTCCCCCTGCTTTGTGCTCTCTCGCTCTCCCTCTGACAAAATAAGAAAAAAAAAAAGAATTGCATGCTCTACCAACTGAGCCAGCCAGGTACCCCAGAACTGTACTGCATTTATTGAAAAAAAATCCTTGTATAAGTGGGCCCATGCAGTTAAAAACCCATGTTGTTCAAGGGTCAGCTTGATAATGTTCATTATTAGGGTGTGGGATGTTTGGAGGTGGCAAAGCCAACACCTATTGAACCTTCCACTGGTAAAGAGCCAGGTTTAAAAAAAATAATAAATACTTTATTTATTTTATTTTTAAAGATTTTATTTATTTATTTGACAGAGAGAGACACAGCAAGAGAAGGAACACAAGCAGGGGAAATGGGAGAGGGAGAAGCAGGCTTCCCACGGAGCAGAGAGCCCAGTGCGGAGCTTGATCCCAGGACCCTGGGACCATGACCTGAGCCGAAGTCAGATGCCCAATGACTGAGCCACCCAGGCATCCCAAAAATAATAAACATTTTAAAAAGAGACTGGCTTGTCACACTTTCCTGGGGGCAGGAAGCCTCTTACTTCATATTGACATAACTCAGAGGTGTAGGTCAAGTGAATCATTTCAGAACAAGCTAAATCTTCTGGAAGGTGACTTTTGCCACCAACCAGGCGCCCTTGCTACAGGGTGTGGCTCCCAGGCCTGGGGATTCTTGGCTTCTATCATTGTGACATTCTATATCTCTTAGATGCTCACATTCTCAATTAAGTATTGAGTGTCTACTTCGAGCTTGTGCTAGGAATACAGTGACAAGTAAGACAGACATGGTCCCTGGTCTTCTGGAGCTCACAGTCAGGAAGTCACACAAAAAAATCATGATCTAACCATAGTCAAGAGCTATTCCCCATGTTGGGAGTGGGTTATGGAAGCTAGCAGGCTGGGTGATGAAAGAGGCCTTCTCAGAGGGGGTGACGCTTAAGCAGAGTTGGGTGAAGAAAGGAAGAGAAAGGTATTCTGGGCAGAGGGAATAGCACGTGCAAAGGCTGGGTGATGAGGGTAAAGTGAGAAAGAAGAAAGCCGACTGCGACCTTGGTCAGCTGGGAATTGGCCTAGTGTCCACAGTTAAGCCATGGTGTTCTCCTGTTGAATATAATCCCACAGATTGTCAGAAAAAACTGGGCTGGCCAGCATGGAGCAAGACAAAAACAAGAACCCTCTGGTTGATCTGACCACAGACCAAAACAAAGTCATGATCCAAACCACAAAAAGGGCCAAACCTCCCCATCTGTCCCCTGGCTAATATGAGTGGGACATCTTCTTCCCACTAATCACAGCGTTGGCCCCACCTGGTTCCCCTGACTCCTAGGTAAAAAGTGTCCAAATAGGGGCGCCTCGGTGGCTCAGCCGGTTAAGCTGCTGCCTTCGGCTCAGGTCATGATCCCAGGGTCCTGGGATCAAGCCCTGCATTGGGCTCCCCGCTCAGCGGGGAGCCTGCTTCTCCCTCTCCCTCTGCCTGCCTCTCTGCCTACTTGTTCTCTCTCTCTCTGTCAAATAAATGAACAAAATCTTAAAAAAAAAAAAGTGTCAAAATAAGGAGAGAATTGTCCCCACTTCCTTGACCCCCCCTCAAGTCACCTAACATAAACCCCAGTTTCATAACAAGCCCTTCTTACTACCCTCTTTCCGGGATGTTCCACGGAGCCTCATTGCAAGAAGCCAATACCTTTGACTACAGGTGTGTTTCTGGTGGTTTTGGCTGAAGGGAGTCAATAGGGATGGAGGTCCGCCAAGACCCTCACTCCCCCACCTGAGACCCTCCAAGGACTCTTGGGAAGCATCTTTCCTTGCCTTTTCCACCTTCTGGTAGACCCAGGTGTCCCCAGTTTGTGACCAATCTCTGCCTCCATCTTCTCCTAGCCTTCTCTTGTGTCTCTTATAAAGACACTTGTCATTGGATCTAGGGCCCACCCTAAATCCAGGATGATCTCATCTTGAGACCCTTACCTTAATCACACATAAGAGGCCCTATTTCCAAATAAGGTCACAGTTGAGGTTCTGGGGGTCTGGAAGTGAACATACTTCAAGGGACCACCATTCCCTCAGGACAAGTGCCTTGAGGGTTGTGAGTCCGTGAGAGGAAAGGTCCATTGGGAGAGGAGAGGCCAAGGCCCAGTAAGTCACCCTTAACTCAGCGCTGGTGACTGAGGTGTTCAGAAGGTCTCCTCAAATCAACATCCTTTGGACAAACTTTTCACCATTCCGGAATCTTAAAGGGAAAAGAGAAAAGAGAAAACCCTAAAAGGTCATCTCCTCCAATTGATCCTATCTCTGTGTCTCTGAAAACTGCTTTTTTAGCTCCATCTGCCTGGAGCCAGGGGGTGCATCCTGCCTCTGATGGGTATCGGCCGGCCTCTAGCAAAGTCCCGGAGACCCAAGGTTGCACATGCGCTATCTGTTCTCCATCAAAAGCTGACCCTCTTCCAGGCCAAGCACCCGTGTCTTTCACATTTCCATCAGGCTAACTTGGACATGGCTCTCTCTGCCGGTACTGTCCCCACCGGGGACAATTTGGAATGCAATTTAGAATTGCAGTGGCCACTGTGGGGACTTTCATTGGACGGGGATCTAGAAACAGAAAGAAAAAAGAACTGTCACAAAGAGATCATTTGTTGCATCTGTCTAAATAGAGCATTTGGCCAAACAGAGGGGACACCA